GGCTTCAGCCGGGCGAGGCCGGGCTCAGACTCCTGACCCCAGGACCGTCCGATTATAACCCGGGCGCTGGGAGCCCCCATGCTGGTGCCGACCTGTCACTGCAGAGCCAGGAGCCTCCTGCGCCTGGTGCCCGACACTGTGGCCTCAGGACGCCGCCAAGCTCCTGGATCGGGGGCAGCGCGTTCCCGTAAGCTCCCTGACCTCACCCCTGGCATTGCATCCAAATCTCGGACACGGGAGCGGGAGGCCCAGCCCCGCCCCGCGCGGGCTCCAGGGTCTGCAGGACGCGGCTTCCTCCCGAGGCGCTGCCAGCAGCCTGGCGGGGCGCACCCCGCGCGGCCGGCCCTTTGTTAGTCATCTTTGGAAAAATATTTAGTTCCTCTGACTATTTGTTTTTTAAAAAAATACATACATACATATACATACACACACATACATATATATGTATATATATATTTTAGAGACAGGGGAAGGGAGAGCTAGAAACATCGACACCATCAACCACCGTCGGCTGCCTCCCGCCCGCCCCCTGCTGGGGATCGAGGGCGCAGCCCGGGCATGTGCCCTGACGGGAACCGCACCGGGACCTCCCGGCGCATGGGCGGGCACTCAACCACTGAGCCACACCAGCCAGGCCCTCTGCCCATATGTAATCATACTGTTTTTCATTTCATTTTAATTTTTTTGTTATGGAGTTGTATGAGTTCGTTATATTTTTTTGGATGTTAACCCTATATCCAATACATGGTTAGCGATTTTTTGTTTGGTTGGTTTATTTTTGTTTAAAATATTGGTTAGCAATTTTTTTCCCCATTCTGTAGTGTTTCTCTGTAGGTGGCAGAATCCCACACAGCTCGGGAAACCGGGCACTCACTCGCCGCTCTCCCTTTCAATTCGGCATCACCTAGGGAGAGGTACTGCATTGAAAAAGTTCTACCTACCTTCTCAAATGCATCTTCATTTTCTTAATTTACCGTACAGGGTCAAGATGCAGATTTCATTTTTAAATACATGTACCCTATTCCTTCGTTGGTCTTTCCTCATCTCTGTAAGGTGTTCAACTACCTGTCTCTTGAGCTGTTATGAGACACCACCCGCACTTCTTTCCTTCTAACGTATAATAGATATGACATTTGTTGTCCTCATTCTAGTCCCCAAGTATCTTGAATTTCCACTTCTGGTCTCTCTGCACTGCATTCTGGAAATTTCCTCAGTGGTGTACTCTGCTTTCATAAATGTCTCTTCAGCTGTGTCTTTTCTTTGATGGGAGGAATTTTGTAAAATGTGTTCACTCTATTGCATTGTTCATCTCTAAAATTTCTAAACGACCTCAATAATTTCCTTCTGAAATTATATTCTTCTGAAATATAATCCATACCCTTGCCTGAAAATTTCAACACCCCCTTTACTTTTTCAGATATGTAAGCATACTTAATTTTAAGTTTCTCTCATATTTTCCTATTGATTCCATTTCGTTGCATATGACGGTCCCCATCAAGAGAGATTGCTGTCCATAGCACTGTCTGTCATTATTGGGGTTACTCTATTGTCCATTCTTGTTGGAAGTCTCTCCCCTCAGACACCTGATCTTCCACAGGTTTCTCCCGGGGATGTCCTGGGAGTCAAGCTGACAGTGTGGGGGTTGGGGATCATTGCAGTTTCTCCTGCTCCTCAATGTCCCCTCTTTCAGACCTAGCATCAGCTCAGAGTTGTGTGAGGCGAGGATGGGTAAAGCTGGCCTCATGCTCCCATGTGGGACACTCACGTCACACAAAAACTGCAATAAACCTGTTTCTCACACACACGAGGGAGGTGACTCAGTGCTGACAGTGGGGGAGGTGTCAGTGAGCAAAGCTAGTCCAAAGCCCAGCCCCAGACCCAAGGGTGGGGCACACAGCTTCTACTGGAAACCCGGACGTCCCTTCCTGTGAGGACCTGGGGCCCCTCTCTGTGTCCACATGAGTGGGAGCCTCCAATCTACGCCCCCTTGGTGGTCCTGGACACTGGCTGCTGCTCAGCTTTGCTCTCTGCTCTTTCTTGTGGTTTCGTGTTTGGGGAACTTTCATTTCTCTTTTCCTAAAAATGACTATTTCTACATATCGGGTGCCCCCCGCTAAAAAAAAGTATACACACACTTTGAATAAGGATAAAGGCAGTGTTTATTCAAATACATTTCATTTTCAAAATTGAGCTATCAGCTGTTAGAGTGTGCATACATTTGGGGGGACACCCTGTTCTCAGAAATATTATCGGTAGCATTTATTGGTCTGCGGAGCGGACAAGGGCTCCGAGGTGCATGCAACAAACATTTATCTTCACCGTAGAGTCTGACACCGCGACCCCCTCGCGTCTTCACCTGGCCCGAAAGTTAACAGTGATTGGTTCCCTCTCGTGAGCCAGGGACCAGGGCGCCTGCAGCCAATCTGAGGAGAGGAGCTCATGACAACATGGCCCAAGCGAAGACACAGCTCCGGGTGTCCCTCCAAAGCGTGCACACGCTTTAGCCGCTGACCGCTCAGTCTGGGAAAGGAAATGTGCAGCTACGCCTCGGTTCCCGGACATCTCCGTCTTGCACAGTCAGCGTCTCGGCTGGACGACCCTCTCAGCTGACACCTGCTCAATCAGTCCCCTGTCTCTCAGGGGACAAAGGAGGGAAGCGTGTGAGTCAGTTCACTGCTGTTGATATTGGAGGACGTGTGCTGTGGATATGTCTGTGGGTGTTTTTGCTTTTGTTGCTGCTTATTTTTATTATCCAATTTTCATGTTTTTTTACTGTACGTTTCATGTTCTTTTTGTGAGGTTTTCACTTACATTCCATGTCCTTTTCGTTTTTAGTTATAGATTAGGCAGCACATTAGACATGTAGTGTATATAAGAAAGGTTAAAACAGGGAATCGCTTGGGGGTCTGGGATGGATTCACTCAGGTTTCATTCTTTCTAATGGGAAAACGCTTCCGTTTCCTATGAAGTTCGAGAACTGAGGCTCCACTGTGTTCGAGTCAACACTGCCTTTATCGTTATTCAAAGTGGGTGTGTACATTTTCGGGGGGACACCCTACAGATAAGATGTGATTGTCCAGGTCACAGGGGCAGTGGAAGACAGATGTATATTTACTTAAAAGTCATATTTTTCTTTAAAAACACCCAAAAACCTCTCACGCAAATAGAAATGCCCTAAGCTACAGGCAGGACCATGGGATGAGCGAGAGAACTCCGCCCGAGGCCCAGGGCCGCGGAGCAGCGAGGAGTCACACGTTTCCCCCGAAGGCAGGGTGGGTGCTGTTCCAAAAAACCAACCGAACAGCAACAAAAACCCAGATACCAGCCTGTGAGGGGCTGCGACACAGAGTCCACACTCCGGACCCGGAGAAGGGACAGCTTTCCTTCCCTGATGTTTCCCTTTCCCCTCGGAGCTCATTGTCACAGGGACACGCGCCCTGAGCTGCACAGTGACGGGGTAAATGTGTCCCTGCTGGTCTGAGCCCCGCAGGCCACGGGGACCCGCGTCTTCCCGAAGCTTCTCCGGAGCCCAGATGACACGGTGGTGAGGACCCCACAGGGAGGTGCTGGTGGACTGGCTGAGGGTGCGGGGCCCCATGGCGGAGGCTCTGACAGGGAAGGACGTGCCCTGGGCCACCCCACCTGGAAGGGACGTCTCAGGAGGCCCCGGGGCCTATTTCCTGCTGCATCATGGAAACAACAGCCAGGCTCCCGGAGGGCACAGTTCCCCTTCTTGTGGGCCTGCTGACGTGACAACCACGAGACCGGGAAGGCCGGCTTCTTAGTGGCCACACCCTGCGTGTCTGTCCTGAGGGCACCATGGTCTCCTCCATCTGCACAACTGGGACCAGAGCAAGGAGACACCATGACCTCCACCCTCGCGGCCCTGCTCTGCCTCGGTGAGGTTCTGAGGGAGGGGAGGCCCTGGGCTGGGAGGGCCCCTGCTCTGCCGGGACACCGCAGGACTCAGGAGGCTCGCGGGGAGGGGCCTCTGCTCAGGATCAGGGCAGATCTCTCACAGAAACTCTCTTCCAGGGCTGAGTGTGGGCCTGAGGACCCCAGTGCAGGCAGGTGAGTCTGTCCCCAGGTGTCCCAGATCCCACTCCCCTGGGGACAAGGGACCACCCCCCAGGAAGCTGGGGAATAACAGCTGTTCTGGGCTAACTGATGAGGGGTTTCTGGGAGGGTCCTGGGACTAAGAGCTGGGGACTGGGGGGTGGGAATATTTTCTGACCCAGCCTCTGATTCCTTCCAGGGGCCCTTCCCAAGCCCACCCTCTGGGCTGAGCCAGGCTCTGTGATCCCCCGGGGGAGCCCTGTGACCGTCTGGTGTCAGGGGACCCGAGGGGCTCAGGAGTACCGTCTGAATAAAGAAGGAAGCCCAGAGCCCTGGCTCACAAAGAAGCCACTGGATACCGGGGACAAGGCCAAGTTCCCCATCACACAGATGACAGAGCACACTGCAGGGAGATATGACTGTCACTATCTGAGCTCCAGTACATGGTCAGAGCGCAGTGACCCCCTGGAGCTGGTGGTGACAGGTGAGAGGACACTCAGGGGTCCCAGCCTCAGGCTCTGCCCTCAGGAAGGGGGTCTGCTCTCAGGGTGTCCCCCTCCCACAGCCCAGGCCTGGGGGTGAGGGAGGTGTGACCCCATCTAACACGCTGTCTCCCCCTCTCCTAGGATTGTACAGCAAACCCAGCCTCTCGGCCCTGCCCAGCCCTTTGGTGGCCTCAGGAGGGAACGTGACCCTCCAGTGTGGCTCATGGAAGGGATTTGGCAGGTTCATTCTGACTAAGGAAGGAGACCACAGGCTCTCCTGGGCCCGGGACTCACATCAGCACCCCAGTGGGCATTTCCAGGCCCTGTTCCCTGTGGGCCCCGTGACCCCCAGCCACAGGTGGATGTTCAGATGCTACGGCTGTTACAGGAACAAACCCCAGGTGTGGTCAGAGCCCAGTGACACTGTGGAGCTTCTTGTCTCAGGTGAGGAGCCCAACCCATTTCATTTGTGTTCCTACGGTCAGCTCAGGGGCCCTCCCAGGAGAACCGCAGTCCGGGGTGGGAGTGAGGGAGACATGCAGGCAAGGATCTTCCCTCAGAGCGATGGAGACGGGCAGGGCCCTCCCACCCCTGCCCACTGCACGTGCCCTTCAGCAGAATTTTCCAGGCTTGCGGAGTGATGGCCTTGTGGGGTCCACAGGGCAGAAGAGTATGAACAAATATAGGGTCTCTGTGGGGGGCTCCAGGCTCTCACCATTTTTTGTTCTTTTCCCAGGACCCTCTGGGGACCCCAGTGCCCCACCCCCAGGGCTCAGCTCCACAGTTGGTGAGTCACTGGGGCTCTTTGCTCAGAGGGAGCACAGAGCACCTCAGGGCAGCTCTGAGAGTCTCTCAGAGACTCTAATGCCCCCTCAGGGATGAGCTTGTCTCCTGGGGGCTGGGAGATGAGCAGAGGTGCTGGGGGGGGATCACAGGATGCCAGGGGTTCTGAGGCTGGTAAATGATGGACGTGCAGTCAAAATGGGGAGATATGGGGGCTCAGCTTAGGGAGGAGTGGCTGGGTTTAAATGGGGAGGAGGCAGGAGCCAGCTCTCACTTCTCCATCCTTGGCTTATGGTGGGATCCAATGTTTGGGGCGGGGTCACAGTGCTCCCTGGGAAGGTGATTTTGGGCCAGTCCCTTTCCATCTAAGCCTCAGTGTGTCGTGTCTCCCCCCCCC